AGAAGAAGAAGAAGTCAAAGAATTAATCTTAGAGGCCAGCAAGTTGTCTTATGAGAACATTTATTCATTCCTGAGTACACTTTTATCCAACTGGCCTATAGTCCAGAAACTGCACCAGACATAAAGCATACAAAACAGAAGGAGCTTCCTTTCCTTGAAGGAAAGAAGCAGGATTTTAAAAAATATAGGCAATTAAGTGTGAACACTGCTATAGCTGTGTGCTTGGAGTTGGGTGGCCTGGGGGGCTGGGCTCCTAGGGTGCAGGGGCCCGAAGCTTGCAGCTAGGTGGAGCTGAGGGAGCCCCTTTCTCCTCAGGAGAGGATTATTGATTTGGCCTCATATTCTCCCCAGAAACCCCATGATCCAGCCACTGTGGATGAAGTTCTGCGCCTGCTGGATGAAGATGCAACAGGAACTATAGAATTCAAAGAATTCCTGTTTTTGGTGTTCAAAGTTGCCCAAGCCTGTTTTAAGACATTAAGTGAGAGTGTCGGGGGAGCTTGCAAATCTCAAGAGTCAGGGGTCCACCATGCTGAGTTCCCAAAAGAGCCACAGGAAGGTCATAAAGGTGGCACTAAAGTGAGACAGGAGGGCAAAGGCCAGCATCATGAAGGAAGCAGCCATGGGCAGAGTGAGCAGGCTTCTCAACAGCAGGGAAGGACTGTGACTTGGACCCAGAGTCAGGACATCAGCAGTGCACACAGGAACACTCCTGACGGGCAGGCCAAGTCCCAGGGACAGGTGCAGGTGAGCCAGCAGACACGAGTCAAGGGGCATGTGGAGCAGACCCAGAAAGTAGGAGGCCAGGTGAGTCATCAGACAGAGAGGAGGTGGGAAAGTCAGTCACAGACTAGCAAACGACCAGGTGAGGGCATAACTGGAGCCACATCACAGACCCAAATGGGTGCCACCCAGACTGTGTCACAGGACAGGAACCACCAGACAGGAAGCTCCAACATCCAGACACAGGGGTCCTCCTACAGCCAGGCCAGAGAGACGGATGCCCATAGTCAAGACAGGTGCCAGACTGGCCAGGTTGTGAAAGGACACATGCAGTCACAGGCAGGGTCACACAGCCAGACTCTGGAGCAGACCAAGAGTCAGACTACAAGCCATGTAGGGGACAGAGGTCAGGGACAGACCCAGACACAGACAAGCAGTGGCCAAAGATGGACACAAGTAAGTGAGGCTGGACAGTCAGTTCTGGGAGGACAGGTCCAAAGTGGGGAAAGCAGTGGGACAGGCAAACAGGATCAGAGCAGCACTCAGCCAAGTGTGAGTGGAGGGCAGGCAGAGAGACAGCCCACAGAAGTGAGAGAGGAGTGGGTGGATGACCATACAAGGGACGTAGTGATCCGAAGCCAGGACCAGGGCAGCCAGCACACCAGCACTCCTTCAGTGTAGGGCCAGGATGCAGCCCAGCCACACAGAGGAAGGCAGCGCCATCGCCCAGAGGCTGTACTCCTACCTGAGAGCCAACAAGCCAAGACTATTTGACTGCAATGCCCCATACCAGGAACAGCCAGAGAGGCATGGGACATCTTAATTATGGTGCTTTCCCTTTAGTTCTTTCTCAAAGAGAACATTTCTGCAAGGTGCTTTCTTCAACTCTCTCCTCTTAAGCAGCTTTGTTGTACAGACTCTCAGAAAACAGGAAGTCATCCATTTCTGCTGAGTTCTCAGCTTGTAAGGGTTTCTGGGGCTACTTTTATGTGCCATCTGTTGTCCACCTATGCTAATACATCAATAAACTTTCTCAAGCAACTGATCTGTATGTCCCATTTAATTACCTTCTACTGATGTAGTGGGCTAAGGGTCCTCAGGTCATGATGAAAGATAGACTGACTGATTGACTTTGGTAGTACTACAAAGTGACCTAGGGTCTTCCCATTGAGTAACATCCCTAATCCTTTTCTTTATTTTTTATTTTTATTTTTAGAGAGGGTCTCATTAAGTCTCTAAATTTCCCACGTTGGGTTTCAATCTATGATCCTCAAGAGTACTGGGATTACAAACCATGAACCACCACTCCCACATACTATTGTATCAGATTCTAAGAGGCAGAGTCAAAGAGAGGAAATATAACATTGAATCCTTGGTAGACATTGGTCAGGGAAGCCTTTCTCTGGATGTCTTTTTGTGAGGACTCTTAAAGAAAAAGTAGGAGTTAGACAGAAAAAGAATTATAAAATTGTTTTCTAATTCTAGACTGTTGAGTCTCTATTCACCTGTAAAGCATACAGGACAGCTAGTCTAAGTTTTCTAATAAATGAAGACTTCCAGTGGGTGTGCAGGGGAACACAAGGAAGACATCCATCTCCAAGGTCTACGCCAGTACCCCTGAGCTTGCCTTCACCACCACCACCCACCCTGTGTTAGCTCTGGTCTCTTATGTGACCCTACACACTGGGCAAGAATAAGTTACTGGCAGATAAAAGTAGCCCCAGAAACCCTTACAAGCTGAGAACTCATGTAAAAATGAGTAGTTTTTAAATTTTGGAGTTTTACAAAGAGTGTTTAAAAAATACAGTGACTTTTTTAAAAAAAATTATCCTAGTAAAAGATACATTGTCAGTAGTTCCCTTCAAAATATTCCTCCTTACTTCTAATACACTTAACCCATCTTTCTCCACACGCGTGAAGCCACCCACTCTGGAGGTCCTCTGTGCTGAGTGTCTGTGCCTGTGCTGTTGTAAGGGATTCGGTGTACTGAGCTGATTCAAAACACTTATCTTTCATGGTCATTGTGACTTTAGAGAAGAACCAGAATTCACACAGTGCCAGATGCGGTGAAAAAGGAAAATGACACACCATCATGATTTTACGAGCCCGCCTTTCTACTGGATGGCACTTAGCAGTATTCCCTGTCATTGATCACACCTCCTAAAGACACCCATAAAAAAGGACTTCAGGAACTGCTTTGGAAAGTGGCAGGAACAATGGGGTGTGTTCAAAGTGAAGGGATTCTGAGGGGCATTAATGACAATGTGTCTTTTAGTGGAATAACAATTTTAAACACTTAAGCACTCACCATATATTTGAATCATACCTCATAAACTTAGCCTTAGATATTCTGACTCCCTAGGTTTCAAGTGAAACCTATGAGGATTTTAATATTTCTAAAGGGAAAGTTTAGGGCTGGCCAAATAGCTCAGCAGACTAAAACACTTGCTTAGGCAGAGCACAGCAGCCAGGGTTCAGTCCCCGCATGCCATGCCGGCCCTGCTCCCGGGGCCCCCTGAGACAGCCATTGAGACTGGGTGTGGTGGGCCGCACCTGTAATCCCAGTGCTTGGGAGGCTGAAAACAGGAGAATCACTATGAGTCCAATCTACATAGTGAGACCCTGTAGACCCTGTACTAAATACATAAAAAATAAATAAACTAAAGTAAAATAAAGAGAAGATTTGCTCCTTGAAGTACAAAAAGCTAGTGGAAAGTACTGATGTGTGGACGGCCACCTGGGTGACTCTCCTTGAAGGAGGAGCAACCGTCTCCATTTTAGTTATACCTGACCCTATTTCAATATACTGATATATACAGAGCTGGCTAAGACTTTTCCTTATCCCTAAAAGTGGCTTTAAGCACTTTATCAGTCCAGCCTGGATACTGATGGTAGTCTTTGAAGATGGCAGCAGTATTTTTCTGGACCTCCGTTGCTCCCTTCTGTGAGCCAAGATGAGGCAGGATGAAGGGCCAGTGCTTCATACTACTGGCTGGGACCCAGCTTGGAGATAGAAGCTATAACCTCCTGGGGCTTGAAAAATTACACATCAGAGCTGAAGCATGGACCCCAAACCATTAAATACTATCTCGATTGTGTTCTACAGATTACTGCTTCTGCAGATCCTTCTCTCTGCATTTTGCAGAGGTGATTTCAGGCCTCCTGCCCAGCCCAGCTCACAGCACTCACCTACTTCCCACCATTCTCACAATCACTCATCCTCAAGCCATTACTTTCTTCACAAATTAATAAAACCTGAGTTCTACCCAGGGTCAAGCCCTTTGTTGTGGATGCCAACTTTGTGGCTGGATGTAGCACCCTTGGCTCCCCATAACTACAAATACACCTTAGTGTCTTTATTCTTGCCATGGGTTGCATTAGAAGTAGTAGATTGGACCTAACTCACAAAACTTCCAATAACTTCATGGGATTACAAACATAAACTTCCTGGGATGTGATGAGGACCAGGAAGTGCTCTCTATACTGAAAGGTTTCCCACAACAAAACAATAAGATCTTGTATGAAGCATATTTTTCACTGTATTGTTGGTTTAAGAAAATAATGAAAACTCCAAAACCAAAATGTAGTAGGCTGATTAGCTATCTCTAAATAAGGTAGAAGTCTAGGGCATGGCAATGTGCCTGGAGCACCTGGGCGCCACCTGCCAACTGAAGAGACTCGCTAACCACGGGCACAGAGCGGTGGCTTCTGAGCCTGATGAGATCAACCCAAGAGTCCTACACTTGGTACCAATCTTCTACCACAAAGAGCACTCTGAACTTAACACCTGATAGCAATCTTCTGACATGAAAATGAGCTGAGCCTAGCACCTGATGCCCGTCTTCTAGCATGAGATCAAGTGGGACCACCTGGATCAACCGTCAAAGATGTAAAAAATGACAGCTGCAGTTGCCTCTGTGCCACTGCCCCCTCGCTCTTACAGTGGTCCATTCTGCATGCAGGGCATATGTTTCCTTGTAAGCACCCTTTTCTCCTTAAGCATTTCTTCTGTGCCAACTTTTCCTATTGTTGATTTTTGACCCAAATAAATGCTGATCTTTCACATTTACCAATTGCTCCATCCAGTTCATTGAATAGGACAATAAGAACCTGGAAATCATTTTTGATCCCTACACAAACCAGTGACATTTGGTGAACCAGCCAGGAGGGAACAGGAGGACCAGGAAGGAGGGTTCTTGGGCATAGCTGTTTTTCTGGAATCTCTAGACTCAAGCCAAGGACTAGTTTAATGACTGGTTTAGTTTTTCTTTCTTCTTTCTCTCTCTCCCCTTTAGGAAGGTCCCAATCCTTTCCTGATCATCTTTGAAACCCCTTCAAGTCCCTTTTCTTCCAAGACAGGCAAGGAGAAGCAGGAAGCTAGAAGGTGGTAAAAATTAGTGAAAGCTGAGTACCACCTAGTCCTGCAACTGCTGAAGAGCCAGTGGAGTGCTGAAGGGGTGTGGCACAAAAAGCCTGTGCATTGTCGCCTCATTTGGGTCTCAGGACCACAGAGCCAGGCCAAGAGAGCATGGCCTCTTGAATTCCTGGCCACCATGTACCTGTGGCAAAAATCAGAACACTAACATTCTTAGGTGAGGTGGAGACTAAGCATCTCTGAGTGGCCCGCCAGAGTCTTAAAAACTTGCAAGCATTCTAGATTTTCAAAACTCAATGAGAAAAACTACATAACCATCCTGTTGTTTTAATAATCTGGAAAATATCTATGAAACTGATTTTCCTAAGATCTACTAGTTCACTTCTAATCTATCTAATGCATCAGTACCCCATCCACTTTCCTTTGGTGCCCCTTAGTACCTTTGATGCTCAGACTTATTCTTAAGTCTGGAATCCAGATGGTTTTCCTTGGACAGTTCTTAGCAGATGCTAGTGTGTCATATATTTACAGACACCCTTTTAATGTATTCTTTTGGATTTAATTTCCTCTGTTAGGGATGATGTTAGCCTGCTCTCTGCTACTCCTGCTGGTTTAGCGGTGCATAGTCAGCAGCTTACATAGGTGCTCACTGTGCAGTGATGGCTGTTTAAACAACTCTTGCCTTGTAGCTATTTTTGATGGTAATTGCCTCATTTTGTCTCCAACCTCTCTCTCAACTGAGACCATGGCAAATGAAGAAGCTGCTGCAGTGGAATGGATTGTGGTTTGTACGTGCTCACAGGTAACAGCTAAAGCTTCTGTTTTCAGGGAACATAGGAGATTTGGATTGATTTCCCTTTGTTTCAAAATTCAGGTAATTATTTTAGACTTCCACCTTGATAAGTATAAAGCACACTGTTTTCTAGGCAGTTAGGGAAGTCCTTTCTGGAGTTCACCCTGATCTGTTTCTCAAGTGGCTAAGGGAGCCACTTCCTAAGGAATTAGTGGGCCACAGTATGTGGAGCTCCTTCTGCTAGGTTTTTCAGCACAGTCAAAAGACAAAAAAGATAAAAGAGGTCTTTATTGTAGGCACTGAGAAGACCATGGGAAAGGAGAGATGTGGAGTTTCTGAGGGCGTGGGTGGGGGGATACCACAAAGGCTATCAGGCCAGGATGTAAGCAGGGTTGGGGGGAGCAGTCTGTGTGACATGGCAGATATTGATTGGTCAGCAGGTGGGAACAAGGAAACAGGATACTGTGAAAAGGAAGTAGGAAGTTGACCAGGAGGAGAAAGGTGGAACATAGC